TTGTAATTAGCGTTAACTGATTATTAATTAGTTTTTCCGACTTATATATAGTTACCGATTTTTTGATCTCGTCACTTCGAACCAGTTTCTGAAGAAGGTTGCAACATGGCATCCGAAACGTCAAACCTTTTATTAAAAGACGCACGGCAAAACCCGAAAGTTTCTAGTGTTAGTTCTAGTTTTAGTTCTAATCTTAGTTTAATTCACACCGGCCGTGAAAGCCTTCGTACTTATAAAACCCTGTATATATTTCGCCCCGATTTCCAACCCTTATAACTCGCCCAGAGGCTTTATTAGCACGTATAAAAAAATACGTAAACCTTATTTTTGGCCATACTATCGCTGTACCAAATTTCAACAAAATCGATGAGGGACAGTTCTGATACTTCCCTTTTAGATTCCTGCCCGTCTGACCTATACAGATCCCTTCACAATCTTTACAAGACATCTCATGCACTCCGCTTAATTCGAAGTAATTAAATCTACGTTTATTATTCATAAGTTATTCATGCGTTTTGGACTTTACATTGGGATAGATAAGTTTATTGACGAAACTCTTTCATTTTATTAAAAATTTTTCATATTTTGCATTTTATCATAGCTCTAACCACAGTCACATAGAGCCAGTACAGTCTTTCAGGGGTAAGACCACAAGGATATTCTAGCTTTGTGCAAAACTCCCTGCAAATGTCCATTCCATGAGAGGATTTTGTCTAGGATTACTCCTAGATGGATATCACCTCCGTCGGTATAGATTCTGATTTGCAGCTGTTCTTGTCCTCCTGCATTTCAAGTATCTATTTTTTTCCAATTATCTTTAAGATTCCAGTGGCGTTCTGTTTCTACATCTTGCTTTTTTAGGTCTGTTAATCTTTTATTCAATCCTCGCTCAGAAAATTATTCGACGTGTATAAATTAACATCCGTGCCTATATTAAGAAAATATAAAAACGTAATTTCTCCACAGATTGTAAGTAATGTTTCAAGATGAGGCAAATATGCTATAGAACACGTCCAAAACAATTTGTTCTTTTCTTTAGTCTTACTACGAAGGCTTTTGTTAACATACATTTTAATAAATCATTAAAAATTATTAAATAACATATAACATATTGTAAAATTATAATTTTAGGTTATTATTTTACACCGACGATAGAGATAACTTTACACAAATCATAAGAACCAGATTAGACGGAACCCATAGATTAATAATAGGAAAATCAAAAGCTCGTGAAATTCCAGCAATCGCCATTGACATCGAAAATGATTTCGTAGTTTGGGTTGATGGATTAGATATTTGGATGGGTAACATCGACGGAGACAATAAGTAACAATATTAACATACAAATGACTAAAATTCTTTACTATTCTTTGCATTCACTTTCAGTTACAAAGTTACTAGTGAAAGCAAATCAAAAATCAACGCATTAACTGTCCACACTGGATGGCTTTATTGGCTCGACCGAACAATCAATCAACTTCAAAGAATTGAATTATCAACTGGTAATTCTCGATCGACCGTTTTAAACTATGACTCGCACATCTTAGACTTGGTTTCGGTCACTCAACCGGACACAAAACATAATTGCGCTACACTAAGTTGTTCCCATTTATGTGTTATCGACGGTGGATCCACTGCGGTTTGCACTTGCCCGCCAGGTTTGATTTTAAAAAAAGATGACAATCAAACTTGTATTGTACTTCCGGGTTGTATGAGCGGTCACTTCACGTGCGCATCTCCCGAACCCGGAACAGGTAACGGGTGTATACCAACCAGTTGGAGATGTGACAACACCAAAGATTGTTCAGACGGCTCGGACGAAATGGATTGTCCGGTCTGTAAAAAAGATGAGTATAAATGTAAAAATTTACAGTGCATTTCCCAAAGAAAAGTTTGTGACGGTGTTAGTGACTGTAAAGATGGTTCAGATGAGGAACAATGTTGTAAACATAATCAGTATCAGTGTCCTCAAACAGACGCTTGTATTTCGATTTCTTCGCTATGCGACGGCATTGAACATTGTTCGAACGGCGAAGATGAATCTAAGTCGGTATGTAAAGACGCGAGTCAATTTATTGCGTCCCCAAAATCGAGTTCTAGTGTAATAACAGTGGGTGTTTTAACGATCGTTTTAATAGTATTGTTATTAGTTGGAATTTTTTATTTCCTTCGGCGGAAATGCGACGATATTGAAGCCCCATTAGATCAAATTGAAGATTTATTAACTCAACGCCCCCACGGTTCCCATAAAAATCCTAAACTACAAAAAACCATCCCGGATGTTGTTGGAATGTCGATGCTTAACACGTCCTCCCACCTTTCCTCCTATGATCGTAACAACATCACAGGAGCTTCTTCAAGTACCAACGCTTCAAGCATAGGCTGTTATCCCAGAGAGACTTTAAATCCCCCTCCTAGTCCTGCGACGACTGGTATTTCAACTAGGGCGAGTAATCCGAGGTACCGCCCATACAGGCATTATAGGGCAATAAATCAACCTCCGCCGCCGACACCGTGTTCGACGGATGTTTGCGACGAGAGTGATTATAACTATCCCGTCAGTAGGAATAGGTACGATGGTGCGTTTCCGCCACCTCCTACGCCTCGATCGCATTGTCAAAGCGAAAGTTGTCCGCCGTCGCCAAGTTCCAGATCGTCAACCTATTTTAGTCCCTTACCTCCGCCTCCATCACCAGTAACAGCGCCCCCAAAGAGGTACGATTCATAGTAAATCATAATAAATCCTATACAACATTGATTTTGTCTTGTTTAAAAACAAATGGAAAGAACCATTGTGCCTAAGAAATGCAATTGTAAATACTTGTAACAATGCATAGTTCTACTAACTAAATGACTCTTAAATTAGATGCTAGTGATTAACTAATTCGACAAAATTCACTGCAGTGATAAATCAGAAGCGTCAGATTTAGTTACCATTTTGTTAGTAGTTATCACTATGTATATTGTCTATTTTTAGTACATAGTGTATGTTTTATAAGTGAGTTTAGAACTTTTTACTGTTAACTAAAATGTATATAGAGAAAAAATATATTGATATTATTAAAATGTGTTTTTATCAAAGATCATTGCCAAAAAATAATTTTCTAAAATCTTCTTGCCTACTGAATGGAAATTTTCAGGACTTCAGGATGTGACAGCTTGTCCAAAAATTTGAAAAAAATTTCTATCAACTTACCCTCTAAAATGCACCATTTTTGCGAATATCTCCGGAACCGTTTATCGTACAGAAAACAGCTTTTGTAAGCAATTTCTACTCATAATAAGCTAAGTTTTGTGCGAGAAAAAAAATTTTTTAAAGTCATAATTGGTGAAGATTTTGAAGGGGTAGTGGTTGTTTTTCTCCCCAACTTCTACACCACTTGAAAAAGTATGGTTTTGAGACGCCCATTTGAACCGCCAATGTTTTCTACACAAAAAAGGTACTGAAGGACATGAGCTCTAAAGTTGGCCGTTTTCGAGAAAAATCAACTTTTATGTTGAATAACATGGTATAACAGGTATAACATGGTATAACAGGTATAAGCTCTTCATCAGGCACGACTAGAGCTTATAGCTCGAAATACGTATAGCACTGATTTAAACATTGTAAGAAATTAATAAATTTCATTCATCGACACCTTTTCTTTATTATCGATGATGATATTTAAAGAGGTGTCTTCGTATGGGGACAGCAAATGGTAATGGAATAAATTTGACGTTGTGTTTTGCATTCCATCGAGATAACCATCCATCTGTTGCTTTAAATTCGTTGCGCTTTTTCGCAATCTCTTCTGATACTGCACCGGTAACATTTACATTAATAATTTCTGAATCTTTTCCATCGCGATTTAACATAAATCCTTGGTGGTACTGGGGCCTTCTCTGTTCTGCTACATTTCTGTAAATTTCACCAATTCTTCCATTTTTCTTATTATGTTCTCGGTTGTGTCCTTCTTGATATTCTTATAAGCGGCTGGATCCAAAAGGTTCGTCGTTTTGTCATGTTTGTGACATTCCTTTTATCTGCTGGTAGGACGATGAAGTCAATTTTTAATTATAATATATTCGCAGACGATCAAAGAAAAAACAGACCAGCAGACAAAGGAAATGCAACGCTGTGATCTGGTCGCATGGAAAAGAACGTCTTTCCTAGCGTTCCTAGCCCTAGTCCTAGAAGTTCCTAGCCCATCTGAACTCGCAACATCTCATGATCAAATTTACCATGGAAAAGGAAGCTGCTAAACAGTTACCTTTCCTGAATGTTTTGGTCACTAGAAACACATTCGGGTTTAGCCGTCTTGAAAAAGTCACGGCTAAACTCGAATATTTCTAGTTCTAGTTTTAGTTGTTCCGAGTATATCTGATTGTGAGCTTATGATCAAAATAGGTTAAGTTATATTCGATGTAATACAAACAAATAAATAATAAATTGTTTCTATTAGCAATTGTTGAGTCAAAGTCCGTCGCGTATGTAAGCGCGTGTACTGAAAGGTTAATTGAATTACGTACATAATTTTTGAAAATGAGTACCGCGGTTCATGAAGCCGCTGTATTCTAAATATTCGAGCCAAAATGGCGGTTTAACAGCTTATCAGTGCCAAGGTCTGTAAAGGCAAAGGCCGTAAATCGTATTGGGCTCTTTATGTGGAATTAATTTGTTGCGCCATCTATTCGCTAATAGAAATACCATACTTAAAATAAGAGTGGAATCTACTAAAAAATATATGTATATTTTTATTTCATTCATCCATACTAATGTACAGAAATAAACAATTTATTCTTCCTTATCTTAGTTTTTGCTTCAAGACTTAATTATGAATAGTAAATTTGTTGTTGTTAATAAAACGCCATAACCTTCAAAACACAACATAACCTTAAAATTGGTTCCTTTTAAATTTAAACGCATGGGCAGTGTTCCAAGGTTTTTTATTAGAGAGGGGCTGTATTATTACATTACGGTAGTTGTTATTAACACAACTTGTTCCTCATTTATCAACGACAGGTTTTTAATGTAGATGAAAAATATTGGGTAAAAAATAATTTTTATGTACGTTGAAGTTAATTAATCTCACTTTCTAATTGTCGCAGTTAAAATAAACTTTCACAAATCGCAAGTTTCGTTGGTTTCGTTTCGATTTTCTACGTGTCTACACGTGTTCTTCAAAAGAACCCTCTTTTTTCTCTCTCTCTCTGTCTTGAGCGAGATAGAACGGAAGATAGAGAAGATCGGATGATCTTTAAACGTCAGTGTCATGTCAGTAGTGAAGTGTATTTCGTAGTGAATTTGACGGAATTGTCATAAACATTCACGAGTGAAGTAACAATAACAATACAAAAAAGTAACTTCGTCATTTTATGTCACACAAAATTATAAGTGTTTCAGTGTTTCTCAATTTCAATCAAAATTCTAACCTCAATTTCGCTCGTTCTGCGGTCCAAACGTACAGACCGGTTTCGTAATTTTCTTCATTCTTTTTTCGTTGTAAAATAACAAGAAAATGAAGTTTTATAAACAGAAATTGCTTTCTGACGCTCAACTTAGAAAACTTAGCGAACATAAATACTCGTGTACAAGTAACAGTATCTGTGATGCCTTATTACAAGGATGGTGGAATTGGTTAGTGTCGAAAGTGCCCTTATGGTTAGCCCCAAATCTAATTACAATAGTCGGATTACTTGTAAATGTCGTTACGACACTTATTTTAATTTGGTAATTAATCTTATATAAAGAAGTAAACAAATGATTGTCTTGATTGTTGCTTAAGGTATTCTCCAGATGCTAAACAAGAACCGCCAGCTTGGACATGTGCCCTCTGTGCATTAGGCTTGTTTGTTTATCAAAGCTTAGATGCTATTGATGGTAAACAGGCGAGAAGAACAGGTTCGGCAAATCCATTGGGAGAGCTTTTTGATCATGGATGTGATTCGATATCGACAGTTTTTGTTGCCCTTGCTGCGTGCACATCAGTTCAATTGGGTTATTATCCGGGATGGATGTTTTTCCAAGTGAGTATTTACATTGTTATTGTTGATTTTAACACTTATTTGTTCTGTCAGTTATAATATATGTTGTGTATATAAAGACTATATATTTAAAAAAAAAATTATATTATATTCAATAAAATGTCATTTTTTAGGTATTAGTTTAGTTAGTAATTTTACATCAAGGTCAGAAAATTTATCTATGTATCTAGAACCATGTTGACATGATTGTTGAAGATAATATCCAGACCTTTTAAGATAAACTTTTTAGTTGAGGTATTCACAATAATGGATAATTAATTTTTTACTTTACTGATATGGCAATATAACTTCAAATGTTCAGTACAAAAATAGAATAAGTTGTACAGTTGTACAGGTGTCCCAAATTCGATATCATCATTGGCTCTATCTGAATATAAAAGAGATTGGAAAGAAAATAGCTTACATGTCATGATCTCCATTTTGAAGGAAATGGTTTGAAAAAATTTCGCGAATATCTCACTTATTACCAAAGATAGAGTATTTTAATTAAAACATTATATGGGCAACTTTTTATCAATAAAATAAAGTAATCTCGATATATATAACGGATTAATATGAGGAAAAGAGTGTCCCTTATAGCCATTATATGAACGTCCATTATATGAAAAATTTTTAGTTTGCACTTTAAACTATTTGAATGAATAATTTTAATGCTTTCTTTATTAGTTAGTTCTACTTTTGTTCAATAAAATTGTATACAACAATCTAACACTGAATAACAACTAAAACTAGAGTTAACACTAGACCTAGAAGTAGAAACATTCGGGTTTAGCCATACGTTTCTTAAGACGTACGCCTGAATGTTTCTAGAGGTCCATGTGTTAGTCCTACTTTTAGTTAAAACTACAACTATCGTCCTTGATTTATACATCATACTTGGAGAATACCCTGAGTTTATCTAACGACCATGGAGTAGAGCAACTTGGGGAATAACCCGAGTTGGATTCTATCTATAAGCACTAACCCATATCCGAAATCCGCTCTAACGAGGTTTGGTATTGTAATACAACGATGTAACGAGAAAATTGTTTCCGTGTCTCATTTTCGAGATTTAATACTATTAAACTTAATTTTTTTAAATGCAAACCATGATTGGCATTGTCTAAATTGATTCGTATTTTTTTCCTGATAATACTTATGCGAAGTTAGCCCCCAAAAATATAACAAAAGTGTTAAAAAGTTTTTGAGTGGTAAGAAAATATAGAATTTTTTACCAGTGTGGAGTTATTCATAAATTCTGGCATAAACTTAAAACATTCATAATTTCGCAACCAATACAATTTGAGTCACCAAATTTCACATACGGGACACTTTTACCCTCAAGAACAGATTACAACCCCCAATGAGTGAAGAAAAAAATTTGAAAATTTGGGATCACTAAAGAGTCATAAAAACTACATTCTGAGATAATTTAGAACTTCCATGCAATGTGGAGTTTTTTAGGGGATGACCACCCCTACATTTTTAAATAGCAACCCCTGTCGAATTTTACCTTATTTTAAAGGTAATGAAAAAAGAAATACAACGCCATAAACCAAAACCCGATATCTTAATTCTTTCAAGAATTATGAGGGGTTGACTACCAAATGTTACAAAAAATGTTTTCATGTTTTTTTGCACGTTTGAATTTGACGTCGGGGTCACCCCTAAAGTCCCATCCACGGTTTATAACGTTAATTTTTTTTCTCGAAAATTGTTAAGGATGTCGAACTGTGGTCTATTATGTGGTAGAATTTGGCGTAATTCGAAAATACCCATCAATGTGAAAACATTCCTTTTTCGGGGGTAGGGGTTGAAAGGTTTTTTTTTACCAAATGGGGGTTGTAATCTGTTCTTAAAGGTTAGAGTGTCCCGTATGTGAAATTTGGTGGCCCAAATCGTATTGGTTACGGAATTATGAATGTTTTAAGTTTATGGTTGAGATTTATGGATAACTTCACACCATGTATGGTAGAAAGAAACAACGTCTCATTTATCCTTCCATCTCACCATCTCAAAACCTTTACTTTCCTTGTCCGGTATGCTGATATAAACCCCCGTCTTACTTTCTTGGGAATTCCTTTTGGAATCTTTGAAATCTTCGTCTTTGGAACATTTTTGGAATTCTCTTTTCTACTCGATCTTATTGTTCCATACGTGTCTGTTGAGTGTAAGACGAAAAGATTTACCAACTCAACTGCGTTGACATAGTGGCTGATAAATGTAGTTTTAGCAAAGTATATTGATAAGTGCTTCAAAAAATGAAAAGTTCTAGATATCAACAAGGATTGTTCAAAATCAAAATCAAACTATTTTGAACAAAACATTTGAATTTGTAACGAAAGCTATGGCACTTCCTTTTAAAATAATGATTTTATGGTCTATTTCCGGTAGGCCGGAGGAGGCCACGATCTTGAAAATATTCAAGATCGAAAGATCGGGATGAACAAAAAAGAAAACAGGATGTTGTTGACTTTTTGGTGGATACTGGATAATTATGGATTCAATCATGTTTCTCTCTTTGGCTACGATCTGTATTTTTATTTCTTCATCTTTTTGTTACATTTTATGGGAGAAAGACTTTGTATAGGTACTTATATTATTCCACATGTATCGTGTCACAAATTTGGTATTAATTTCTGTTACTATAAGGAGACTTGCAGGCAATGTTTCCCTTTTTACATCCAGAAAAAATAGATACATAAAAAGTAAATGGATTCATTATGGTACTAAAATTGTATGCTTTATAATGTTCAAAATTACTAAACAAATCCGTAGTTTTGTATTGAGTACTTAATTGCGCTTGCATTGTTTTGACCTTGATTCCATACCATATGAAATCGATTATATCGTAAGTTTTACAATAAAAGTAATAAGGTGTAAAGTCTTAATTATTTGAATAGTTTAATTTACAATACATTAAAAATATATACAGGGTGTTTCGGTGACTCGGGGAACAAATTTAACCACATATACTAGACTGAAAGTGATGACGATTCATGTAAAAAAAAATTAGTAAAAGTCTTCAAATTTCAAAGATACAGGCCATGAAAGTTAGGAAATTTTAACACATTTTTCCAAATATCTAAAACATTATTTACAGTAAAGCGCTGAAATTTGGTACAGTATAAATCAATGTGATGTAAAATCGTTAGGCAATTTATGAGTTGGATCGGTTCGCGGGAACAATGCTATACAGGCTGTTCCTAAAGTTTGTTTGCTCAGAACTTTTTTATTCTATCATAACTCTACATTAATTTTTGCAGTTGCTAATAGTAAATTTAGTTTAGAAACTTTTATTACTCTTAGATAATATTGATTAGAATCACCGTATTCGTGTTAAATGCAAAAATGTTGGGTTCCGATTTCAATAATAGCACTAATCTAAGTTTTTGAACATTTCCTTTAGTATTTTTTATTACTTGTCTTGTTATTTTATGTACTTTTTTATTATTCCTGTTAGTGTTGTCGTTTTTTTGTTTATTTTTTGTTGATTTTTAATTTATTGTTTTTGGATTTTTTTATTAAACCAACTAAAACAAATTAAAAATGTGATTTAGCCAAATCTACACTTGGACATGTTGCATACATAGTAGTAATGACAGCTCAGTTCGATTTTCACTTGTCATTGCCAATTAAGATTATTTATTTATTTTTTTTTAGTGTTATTGAATTCGGAGCCTAAAATTTTTACATTTAATACGAAAACGGTGGATTTTATTAATATTCTCTAACAGTGATAAAAGTTTCTAAACTAAATTTACTATTAGAAACTGCAAAAATAAATGTAGGGTTATGATAGAATAAAAAAGTTTTGTGCAAACAAACTTTAGGAACAACCTGTATAGCATTGTTCCCGCGTACCGATCCAACTCAAAAACTGCCTAATGATTTTACGTGATATTAGTTTACACTGTACCAAATTTCAACGCTTTACCATAAATAGTGTTTAAGATATTTAGAAAAATGTGTTAAAATTTCCTAACGTTGATGGCCTGTATCTTTGCAATTTGAGGATTTTTACTAATTTTTTTTACATGAATCGTCATCATTTTCACTCTAGTACATGTGGTTTTTAGGGTTAATACCAACTTTTTTATATTTAACATAGGTATTGTTAATCCTGACGATTTGATGATTTGTCTTTTTGCATTTTAAAGTTAAACTGGTAACATGGGTTAAAAATACAATTTTAATTTAATTGTGATTTAATGTTTTCATCTTTGGACTAGCTTTAATTTACGGCACTTACTTGGAAATTATATACGCATTAATGCTGTGGTCCACATGCATAAATTCTAACTCATAATATCGAAATATATTTTTACAACTCAATTGGGCTGGCTTGTATCTGCATTTCAATAAAGTGGTATACAATGGGTTAATAAAATTCAAACTTATTGTTGCCTATAACGACTTTGTTATTGTATAGAAGAATATTAAATTATTAAAATTTCATCAAAATATGTTTTAAAAAAAATTTTGTTTTGTAAATTATAGTTTATTCGTTTATACCAATTAAAAGTCAAAAACATAATTTTCTCACATTTTATATTACTGTAAAAATATAAAATCATTCGCGAAAGGATAAATTTATAGAGTAAAGTTAATTCAAGATAAACTTGAAAAGTCGAGAATCTTAAGAAAAAATTAAGACAGTTTTAATTTAGATGGTTTATTTAAAACATGCAGATCAATTTACTGAACTTATTTAATAAATCACTTTTTAGCATTTTTTTATCATCTACTACATTGCTTTAACGCTACGTTTAACACCTACGCTATCATTACACCGTATACGTTTCTGAAATTCTGAAAATAATAAAATGGAAACATTAAATTTCCAATGCTTCGGTTATTGATTGCGCGGAATATGTTTCCAGCACATTCTCTTATAATATTCTCAAGATGGTCGATATTCTGAAATGATCTTTACTTATAACACCGCATTGTTAAGGTGTCTCCAAATAAAGAATCGCATGACATCAAGTCTGGTGAACGTTTGGTCTATGTATCTTTAGGAATTGAGAGTATGTATCTCGAAAAAAAAGGATCAATAATTCTGTCGTTAAATATCCTATGCCATACATTTGTTAAAATAATTTGTTTCTTGCTTTTATCACAAACTGTGGATTTTCATCAGGCCACCAACGACAGTTTTGAGAATTACCACCCTGTTCGATGAAAATGTGGACTCATCTCGACTCATCAAAGAATAACACATGTCTTATAAAAGAACGGTCTCCTTCCCGTTGCCCTTGTAACCAAAAAGAAAACTAATCGAGAGTTTGTGGTGTTACAATTATTGTCTGTATAACAACCGTTTGGTTTTCTTTCCCGTTAACCCATCGCCGGTGAGGTTTCTTGAGTTGACCTTCAACAGTCCCTGAAGGTTTAAACTAGAATCTTTAAGCTATAATTTAACATACATATCATATTATGATTCTTCAAAATACCGTTGATACGATCTTTTTCAAAATTTCTTATTATTCTTGATTTATAAATTTCTTGCTTAATAGTACTTAATACTACTTAATTAATAAAGATAAAATTCTTCTTTAGTTCTTTGTGCCTTTGTCGTATTGGTTTTATTTGTGGTCGAGCGTATAGGTCTTCATTACTTACATTGTGCAGAGGATTTTTAGGATGTTGGATTTTGATTATTATTCTTATGCATCTCCTTGCTGCTTTATTAATAGTCTAAAACCGGTGTGCATATGGCTTTCTGCCCGTCTGTTGGAGATTTTTTACAAATGCGGTAGCTTGGTGATCATGACTTGGAATTTTTCTGGATTTGGGAGAAAGTCTCCATTTATGTAATCATTGCAATACTTGATTGTATAATGTTTGTAAGTTTGCTGTGGCTTTGTCCAATGTGTTGCTATGTGAGTTGAGCGTGGTGTCGTCTGCATAATAAATAAATACTCCTAGTTCTTATTATTATTAGTTTATAAATTTGACTATTTCTTCCTTATTATTTTTTCCTAAACATTCGAATAATAATATCTTATAGTTTTTATATCATATCATAAACTCGAATCTTCATTCATTCGAATATTCATCATTCTTCAAAATACAGGTGATATCATTTTTCAAAATTTTTTATTATTACCTTATTTGTAAATTTGACAATTGCTGTTTTAATAATTTTTTCCTCAACATTTCAATGTTATTATCTAATAGTTTTCAAATCATGTCATATCATCATTCTTAAAAATCGATCGTATTTTTATGAATCACGATTTTTTTCAAGGTTCCTTATCAATACCGTGGTTTCAGAATGGTAGGAAGTATTTCATTGTAATTAACAAATTTGGTCAGCTTTTATAAATCGCCATACTTTTTATAATAGTAGTGAGAAGTACAAACAAGAACAACATACAAGAGAGAAAATTCTATAGCCAAACCGATCACAACCCATAACAATTTCTGAATTTTTTGATAAATTTCCTGATTCCTCTTAATCACTTGTAGAGACTTAAATACTCCATTCGATAGACTAATATCATATCGGCCACTACTACCTGTAGTTAGTTGTATAAGATAGACCTATACACCTAATTACTCATCATTTGTAAACTTTTTAAGTTTATACAACTAGTACAGTGATTACGAAATACGACTCTAAAAAACACATTGATAACTGCTAAAAGAAAATATCACTTAAAATAACTGGAAAACACAGAGCTCTAGGTATCAACAATCTATTACAACATGTTTTTTGATTACTTTGTATCCAATAAGGGACATACTGCTTTACAATATCATATATTATACTAATAACTATTCTTTTACAGTGTTTCTCTGCGATGACGTTATTTTACTGCGCACATTGGCAAACATACGTCTCTGGAACGTTACGATTCGGACAGGTGGACGTAACAGAAGCTCAGAATACTATAATCATACTTCAGCTAATTTCGGCGATATTCGGACCAAGTATATGGACTACTAAGGTGCGTATTACGTTTCACAACATTTCTATAAAAATTACACAAAAATACTCAAATCCATACCTCTATATGCTATGTTTAAGTATTTCTATTCTATGATATGTTCATTAAAACTCTTTTTTGAAATAGTTTTTCCAAAGTTTTTATTGAATAATTTCATATTGAATCAATTTTTGAACGTGTCCTGTTTAGTTCTTTGGCGATTCCATTCCCCTGTGGTACTCGATTCCGATTTTAACATGCATTTGCGGAGTCTGGTCTTTATCGAACATGCTCGTTGTTATATTCACTGGGGGCGTCGGCAAGAACGGGTCAACGGTGGCTGTAAGTTAAGCAAAACAAGCACGGAGGTTTTTCGTATTGATTTTTACAATGGTGATGACAAAGATAATTTTGATTATCTGTCGACTGTATTTCGCCTTTTAATTAATTATGTGTTTACTTTGCATTATGTTAAAATACTAAGACCTAATTTAAAATCCTTGTTAATTCGGGATTTTGCATGTCAATTAAAAGATTTTTCTTTTTTCTCGGTACTTACCTCCGCTGGTTTCCTTTTTAATTTTTCTTACCTTTATTTTTCTTAATTCTATGAAAAAAATGTGCATGATGTAACAGAACATTAAAATTCAAGAACTGTGATACTTACTTGCAGAACATTTAAAGTACTTACTTTGTATTATCACACTTAATACTTGTGAAAATACTAAATGATCCTCGGTATACTACACTGTCAGTAAGCTACACAATGCATATTAAAAGAGGATATCATTCGTTTAGAACTGAGTTTTGAATAATGTAAATTGCTGTTGCCGGGGCAAACAAAATAATTCAAAAAAGATGTTTCCGAGTTAAATTTGGCACATTACACATCGTAGGTTAGTGATGGGAGAATTTTGGTAGAGTAAAAGAGTTTGTTGTTGGCAAGATTTAGAATGCTATTTCGTGAAATGAAGAGTTGTATGAGTTTTATGGCCTTTATGCCTTTGACTTAGGATGACGCTTAGATATCTGACTACTATTTTGAATGGAATTGTGGAATTGTTAGAGGGACTGGGTAGTGCGAGAATACAATTATGATAAATATAATTCACTCGGATTTGTTGTTATAGACAATTTGCACAGAGTAGTTATTCTCGAGGAATCTAAGGTGAGTTTATAGTGAGAAGCCGTGCTGTCGACGTAGGTTGCGATTTTGACTTGAGGCATTTTGAGCAGGTCTGCTGTCTAAATATTGAAACACATGGATTTACTTTTTGAATTTGAATTTTCTTTGACTTTTATCCTGCGCGAAGTGAAGTAGTTATTGGTTAGTTTGATGAGGTAGTGGGAATATTTAGATAAGTTTTTCCAGGTCTAAGGAAACGAGGCCGGTGTGAGTTTGAATGTTCAGGCTTTGAAGAATGATGTTTAGCATGTTGTTAATACCACACGGGTGGGATAATTTCGTGATTAGAGGGACGGCGAAACGTTTTTCTGATTGGATAGCTGCGGTAGGGTTAAGGATTTTTTTGTTGTAGGTTTTGTGCGAGAAAAAATGGTCAATGGTACAAGGAGAGATCTTCTAGGGCGACAAGCTCGGGTAGAGTATTAATGTTTTTGACAATTCTAATGTCAATTGTTAGGAGTAAGGATGAAGGCGTTGTGGACTTGAGTGTAATTGAAAACAATATGGCTTTTTATGCTAGAGATTTATGTCGGAGGCATCTCTAAAACGGTTGGCGGGCCTTAAGATTTCCGAAGATGAAGGTTTTGTTATAGAGAATTAACAAGTTTTTTTACATCGATTAGAGGGTTTTTAGAGGGCTGCAATACATAGTGAAAATGTGGAGGTTGCTATGGTTCTGGTCTTTTCTTAATTGCTATGGCTACATTTCTAGAGCTTGTATGTGGTGTAGCCGGGAAAAGAGATTTTGTCGGATATGATTTGTTTGGGATATTTGCTTGGGATCAGTCGTTTCGGGAAATTTTGGAATGAGGCTGCTGAATAAGGGCGGGAACATTGATTTGAATTATGCGGTTTTGTGTTAGTGTTTGCATTTATGTTGGGGTTCGTTGAAGGCAAAGCAGTAAGCTGTGGTACACTTACATTGTCGAGGACAACGGCTCTTCATGGTTTTATTTTCGACTGTTGACAGTTTTTACACTGTTTTAGCACTTTGAGTTTTTATATGTGATATACAGTGTGTCTCAGGCTAGATGTTACAATAGGTATAATGATCTAAAAAAATTTGAATTTTATTTTATGGATGGGGAATTAAGCTCTGCTTGGTGTGGAGAGAATTTTAAGTATATTTTCATATCTTGAAAATCAACTCGGCCTTGACAGTGAAGCGAAAGCTATTTTTAATTCAGGTAAAGTAAGCTTTTTGTTTATGATACGGCAAAATTTCGTTAAGAAAAGTTGTTCAGATAGAGAAATTATGGCACTATGCAACATTTCAGAAAGATCTACCTTCATTGATTAAACCACCATATTTCAGATTAGATCAGAGTAAAAAAGAACAACAATGGATGCCATAAAAAAATGTATTATCATGTTATCAATGTATTAGTCAGTTTTAGTTCACATTTCAATTGCTCTTGCATTATGTTAACATTAGAACAGAAAATTTACGTCGTGCAGTGTTATGGGCTTGGGCAAAGTGCACTAAGAGCAGTGGTGCAGCAGTTTAACGAGAGATTTCCTAATACCAATCTTACAACTATAACCATCATGCGAATAGTTAAGAAATTTCTTACATCGGGAAGCGTTGTTAACGTTAAGAGAGAGAGAAAAAAAAATATAACGACAATAGAAAATTAACTTTAGAGAATTTAGGCATTGTATAGAAAAGCGTGCAACAGAAGGTGGATGTTTGTCCTTCGGCGTGTAAATGTGGGACACCGTTGTTGGTTCTTAGTTCTTCAATTAGTGTTTTTCTTTTGGCTGAATCTTTTCTATAGATCGTGCATTCTGTTAATTAATGTCGTCAAGTGTCTATTGTTTTTAATTCCTGATATGTATGGAAATTGGAGGGCAGGACGGTTTTTGCGGTCTTGGTATTTTCAGTAGGGCTATCTCGTTGATACGGACGGCAGGCCTTCTTTGGCGAGATGAAACCGCCGGGTTACTTTCTCGTACCAGTGGTTAGACTTTCGTTTTTTGTGGTCTTTGGCTGGAACTCGTCGCTGGAGTACTCTATCCGGTCCTCAGCTCTTTTTAAAGAATCTAAATAGTCATATTTATTGTGAGTGTTTGTGAGTTTTTCTCAGACAAAAACATTAAGAAGGAGAACTTAAATTTGTCTCAATCACCATATTGAAAAAACAGTCGACCTTTTGTCCCGGCAGTAGCGAAATTATAATTGAATTATTAAAAAAATGCTACAAATTGGAAAGTGTGCATAGTAAAGTAGACACATTAAAATATATGACTGGCTCAAACTGTGTTAATGACATTGCAAGTCTTGAGTCAAGGTTCATCGTATAGACTAATAAATAAAAGACCTCGTTCATGAAAAAATATTTTTATTATAACTTCGGTGCGACTAGTTTCGTGTACAATCATTCTCATTATTAGGCACGACTGAAAACGCATTCATAAAAGAGTACATAATGAGAATCAAGAAATTTAAAAAATCAAAAAATTAATTAAAAGTTAAACTTAAAAAATTTAAAAAAGCGAGTCAATAAAATAAGTCATCATCAGCCGAAGAGCGAAGCCAACAGAGCAAATCGAAAAATTGAAAATTGAAAAAGTTGAAACAAGAAACATTTGATTAAAATTTTCATAAATAGATAAAATAAATTTTCAAAATTTTGATATAATAAAATAAAATGATGGTCACAAATTGAAACGCATTTAAGAAGGACTGACTGAGTCTCTACTTTTCGCTCCGCGGTAATGGTCACCTTGAACATCTTGCCCTGTTTGTAATTTGAAATGAAATCCAAAAGTCGTGTCTGAAGATGTGAAACTAAAGTTATAATAAAAATATTTCTTCATCATTCATGAGGCCTTTATGTGTTAATGACGTTTTAAATGCGACTGTCGCTCTATATTCGTTATGATTTTTACTGATCTATTACGATGTATCATAATTGGTTTTGATATGTTCTGTTTATTCTGGTACCATTATTTTCATAGTTGTGTATCAATAAATTCGTTTCTTTAATTACTATATTGGGTTTCTGTTAATTTAATGTTTTCTGTACACTGTAGATATGTAAAAAGTAGTGGGCAAGAGTTGCTATAAAATTAATATCAAATTGATACTTACAGACATACAGGTTGAGTCGCTAAGGAAAGAAACTATCTTTATGAGATGATTATTTGTCGATTTATTATAAATTTCGTATATGAATTATATGTGCCTCTGCAGTGGACAAAAAGTATTCTTTAAGCGATTTATTTAAAATTTCTTGAAAAAAATTTTCTTACAATTTTTTGCAATGAATCGCCTCCTTAAGTTTGTTTTTTTTTGAGCCAATTTAGTCTGCATAACCGATACAATTTAATAGTTTTTTAGGTAATAGACGTTAAGTGAATATACAGTTTTTTCAGAAGAACTAGTATAAATCCATTTAAGAAACTATGAAAGGTGTTCGATATAGTTATGATGTATTATGAATTACAGTGGGTTACAGTTATAATGTGTAAAACAAATTAAAATATACACCACGGGACACGGTGTATCATCTTCCGCATCAGAGCATTATACGGTTGTAGGATACATTATTCTGAAGCGATTTTTCTAATAAATTTTTTTCGAAATGTTTATAATAACCGCACGGAAACTATTTTTCGACGTCCAATGGCAAATCGTAAATCAGATTCAGGTAATCGGCCCAACCCTCGGCCGGGCCGCCGCGCCGATCAAAACACGTTTCTCACGTTTACTTACCAATAGATTCGACACGCAAAGAGAAATAATTTTTTTTTTTGTGAATCAAAATCGTCTGTTATTGGACAAAAGCGGAGAAGTTTAAACAGTTATTAAATGTTATTATAAACATTTCGAAAAAATTTTATTAGCAAAATCGCTTCAGAATAATGCATTCTTCAACCGTTAATGCTCTGATGCGGAAGATACGGCACAGCCTGTATGTACTCGTCCCACAAACTGTGACCAGTTTATTTGATAGTTTCTTTATGAGTTATATTATGGCCTTTACTATACAGGGTCATCCACAACGACCGTCCATTAGAACTATATAGAGAACCAAATGAAGTGAGGGTTTGAAAATTAGCGGACTTACGATGTTTGATGCGAGCTTCCAACCAGAAGTGGTGACAATTTTCATATTTTAAATTGAAACACCCTATATTTTATTACATTTTT